TAATTCTATTAGCAGCATTAACAAACATTATCTAAACTATCAAAAAGAATAATAATAATTATGAACTATCCTTCGACGTTTAGATCAGTCATTCCTTTTTAATAATAAGCATAAGTAAAGTTCAAAAGTCTAAATCCTAGTACAAGTTAAAATTACCAAAACACTCTTGAAATCCTCTTATTCTTAATCAATTATACCTAAATTAACAACAACATAAAATAAGCCTCAACCTTTTTAAAATATTGTTGGTGAAATATTATTAAAAAATATATTATAGTGCAAAAGATAGTTGATAATTAGTTTTAATTAATTATTTAAATCAACAGTTTTTTTTATAAAATTTTATTTAATTAACTTATAAGTAAAGAAATATTTAAAATAATGAATTGAAATTTATTATTCATAATAATATCAATATCACAGATTAATAACTTAATAAAACAGAGACTTCGTAACAATAATACCAATAAAAATTTGAGGAAGATGCTAATACAAAAAATTTCAGGATTAAGAATTAAAAACCAATAATGTAGATTGTAGAAAGATCTGTTTTTCTCGACATGGGAAATTATAGGAAGCAAACCATAATTTAAATGTTCAAGTTTAATTTAAAGGTAATTCATAAGTAAATGAACAATAAAAGATTCAAAATGCTTAGTTTGGGAAATAATACAATTATTATTAAAATTCTTCTAATCTATAAAATAAATAAACTGATTAGAAAACAACAGAAAGCTAAAATTCAAAATAACATACATATTTTAAAATTGAGAACATTTCAAATATTGCAACAGTAATTTTTTAAAAGAATAAATAAGGATATGATGGAGAGAAAAATAAAGAAGAAAGCAAAAATTAACATTCTATTGATAAACCTGGCTAAAAATAGAAAGAGTAATAAAATATACCAAAACCTTAACTACTTATTGTCAGCGATTAGGAATTATAAAAAATTATAACAAATATCCAATAGCTTTATTTTTAGGTAACTCAGGAATTGGTAAAACATCATTATTAAAAATTATATTTAAAGATTATATTAGTAATGTAAAAGAATTTTAATTATATTCAGTAAGAATAGATGATTCTTTAATTTATAATTTTGTAGATATAAAAGGATTTGATTTGAATCTAATATAGATGAAAGAGAAAACTATATAAAACAATATTAATAAATATTTTATAAATCTATTTTTAGTTGTAAATTTTGAAAGAACTGATCTAATGAAAAAAAATTATTGCCAATATATAAGTTCTTTAGAAAATTTTCCTCTATAATAAGCATTATTGTAACAGAAATGTAATTGAGCGATGATCAAAATTAAAGTGAAGCCGAATTGAAAAAAAATTTTGCATATTTTCAAACCTTAAAATATATTATTTGTAAGAAGAGATATACAAAGAGATGAATTAATATAAAAATTGAATTAAAAATCATTAAACAAATTTTAGCTAATTATGAATTCGATGTTACAGATACTATTTTTGAAAAAGAAGATGTAGAAGAAATGAAAAAGTTATAAAATTAACTGATTTCAAGATTTAAATAATGAATTTATTTTTATTTATATAATAATTATGTTATAGCAAAAAAAATCATAATTTTGTGATAGAACAGCTTATAAATAAATTTAAATTATGTTACGAATCAAAAAACTAAGGAACCAATCTAAGCTTAGACCTATGGTAATCTCTTCTTTGATGGGTATATTGTCTATAATAAATAAGATAGGAGCTAGAAATGTTTTAATTATAATTTTATCTGAAATAAAAGAAATTATGTTTGGCATAAACTCTAAGCCTACTTTTTAATTGATCAATTCATTGTTGTAAGGAAAGTTAATTTACTTTTTATTCTTAAGCAAAATTCCAATTGTTTCTTATTGCTTTAAAATAACTTAAGAATGTTAAAAATCCATGAAGTGTAGATAAATATTTATTAATGGTTTTATAACCAGCACAAATAACTTTCATTTTTTAAAGAACCATTTTAACATAGAGCAAACACTAATACATATTCTTTATTTGGCTAATTATTTTCATTATAATATAAATTATTTAAAACCAAAGATCCATTGTTGACAGATGACAAGGGAAAAAAATATTAGTCACTAAATAAAATAATTGGTTCTTCTTAAACTCTAAAATTGTTCATTTTAAATAATGATGAGTAATAATATTGTTTTCTTTTTTAAAAAGGATCTATATTCCATATCAAATCTTCAAGAGTGAACTCTATTAAAGATTCAGACCATTCAAAAAGTTTTTTGTTTCTTATTTTGAGCTAATGTTGGGAGGTATTTCATTGTTTCTCCATAATAATAATATAAGTATAAACTAATCAAAATATATGAAATCGCTCCTCCAACTTTGTGTTTTATTTGTATTTGGTGAAGAGATATTTAAACTCCAAACATATCAATTTTTTCAAAGATCTGGAGATATTTGTTCATATTTAAAAATTATTTTTGAAAGAAATTTATTAAAGTGAAGACCCTAAGTTAATTAAGTAGAAAAATTTTCTTAAGTAATAAAAAAATTAAGAAAAATGAATCTTTTGGACAGGATTTTCATTAGAATATAACTGCTTAATCCTTTCCAATTATATTATTTTTCCTGATACTTGATTTTATTTTCACTCTATTTTGACATATTTCATTTTTCAGACCTTAATTTGTGATATTTACCGCATGCGCTATAATTATATGTAATCTTTTCTATTAACTATTCATATACCAATCTTCTTGTCATTAAAATATTCTCATTGATACATTATTTGATTGTCATAATTATATATCTACATTAAAATTATATACTCTTAGAAATAATCACACAAATCAACCCATTAATGAAGAATAGGTAATTTGTCCACTGTAGTAAATGCTGTATGAAATATAATTAGTATTGAAACAATTTGTGCTTTTTCCATGAACCAAACTCAATGACATAAAACTCATTTTTCCAACTTAGCAAAACTCAAAAATAGACTAAAAAACAATTTTTCTCAACCAAAAAAGACAATTCTCTTTATTTGTTTAATTGTAATATAATTCTGGCAGCAAAAGATTTTTTTAAATTTAATTCAGATTAGCATTTACGAAGCTTCCGAAACCATTGTAACTATCATCATCATTTCATCAAAGAAAATGATAGCTACAGTCTTTACATTTCATTCCATTATCACAATTAATCTAATACCGCTATACCATGCTTAAATAGGATTTATTTATTATATTTTTAAATAATTTCCTGGTGAGCATTTATTATAATAGGTAAACTTCTATCTAAACTTACCTAAGATATTTTTTAAAAACATAATATAAAGCCCTTTTTAGATATAATTGGTTATTTATTATAATGATTATTAGCTAATCGGTTACATATATTTAATAATAACAGTGTCATTTGGTTTCAAAAATATTTTGCTTTTTGCTTTGAATTTAGTTCTAATTTTCACTTGATATTTATTATAAAAAAAAAACTCAACAAAATAATGATAAAAAAATACCGAAAAATAAAAAAAACAAATAGTAATATTATTAACCAAACATAAAATCATTATTCAATAAGAATTCAAAAGAAATTTTAAATTGTGGTGATATAGCTATAAGTTATCTTCAGTTCTTCACATCAAAATTTGACAGTGTTTCTTTAAGGTGGTTCACTGAATTAATTAGATGAAATTAAAGACCTAAACTTTCTAATTTAAGAGGGTAATTATTTACTTTTCAAATTATCAATTAAAATTCTTAGAGTATATATCTTTGACCACTTCAAAGAGTGATGCACACCTGACAAAATCATTCATGTCCTAAAAGGCCCTCTCTTAACAAATTTTTGATTATTTAAAATTAATAATAAAAATAATGAAAGAAAAAAACAATAAATAAAAAAATAAAAAAATTTTCTAACAATGAATACAAGCATCCTTCAGTATAAAAGAAAGTAACGATCGATCCATTAAATCAATCATAAGAAAACTAAACTGTCTATTCTCTCCGCCAAATACTATGTTGGTAAACTAGAAATAAGGTGATATTCTTTAAATTGTTCTTTAATCTGTCTTAATTAAGTATAAAATAGAAAAAAAATTATAATTAATCTAAATAAAAGATGTTAAGTTTAGATTATAATGTATATGATTATTATTTAATTTAAGATTTGATGCCTATGCTTATTTATGGTAGAGGAGTTGAAAGATAGTTGAAGATCCCACATTTAATAATTCTGTTTCTGATTCTTTAATATCTTGACAAATAAATAATTTCGATAAGGCTGATAGATTCTTGGAATT